ACCTTTCCCTTGACTGAATTTATGGGCCCGGACTCCTGGTCTGAGGGCAGGAGGAAGCCTGGGCTGGACTCCTCGGGTCCTGAGGAAGGAGGGCTGGGGCCTGGACTCCTGGGTCTCGAGGAGGAGGGAGCTGGGGGCCGGACACTCTGGGTCTGAGGGAGGAGGGCTGGGGGCTGGACTCCTGGGTCTGAGGGAGGAAGGCGCGGGTCTGAGGGAGGAGGGGCTGGGGATTGGGCTCTGGTCCCTGTAGGGGGACGGGGCTGGCATTACCAGAGCCCTGTTCTTGCTCCCCAGCTGGCCCCAAGCCAGTCCCCTATCCCCTCAGGCTAGTCCATCCCCCAAGCTGGTGGCCTGAGTCACCTTGGCTGGCCCCGCCGGTCTGGGGGGGTCTACGTCAGCTCTCCCCTCACTGACGCAGCCTTGGGCCCCCCACACTGACTCAGCCGGAAGCAGGCCCCCTGAGGGGCGGAGACCCAGTGGTCAGAGGCCTGGGTCCCAGCAGGAGCCGGTGCTGGGGAGGGCCCCTGGGGGGCCCTGGAAGGGGTGGCTGTGACAGGCCAGAGAGAGGGAAAGAGCTCTTACCTGAGGCGATGAGGTCATGCCTCCACCGTGGTGGCATTGCTGCCTCCACCCTGGCCTGCGGGTCCCCTCCCCCCTGCACACCTCTCCCGCCTCCACCTCTGTGCAGCAACGACCAGGGCTCTGGCCCCTGGCCCCAGTTCTGGCCACTGTCTCAGTGTCCCCACTGTCCCGTCTTCACCCCACCTTGCTCCTGTGTCTCGCTTATCCTCCCCGTCTCTCTCAAAGGCAACATCTTTTTCTCTGTGTCCCTGATGTGTTCATAAGAACTAACGAGGGGAATAAGGATGGTTAGCACTGACTTTGTGCTTCACGTGAACGAGCTCACTTTATCCTCATCGTGGCGTTTAGAGGGCTGGGGGTGCTCATTAACCCTCCCTTCACAGATGAGGAAACTAAGGCACAGAGGGGGAGAGTCGCACATGGAGGTCTCGCCTCTGTGGAGTGTTTCAGCGCCTCTTTCTCTTGGTCCTCTGTCTCCGTCTCTCTTCCTCCTTCCTGTCTCCACCTGCCTCTTCAAGAAAGGCTTTTCTGGCCGGTCGTGGTGGTTCACACCCGTAATCCCAGCACTTTGGGAGGCTGAGGTGGGCGGATGACCTGAGCTCAGGAGTTTGAGACCAGCGTGGGCAACATGGCAAAACCCTATCTCTATTAAAAACACAAAAATTAGCCAGGAGTGGTGGCAGGTGCCTGTAATCCCAGCTACTCAGGAGGCTGAGGCATGAGAATCACTTGAACCTGGGAGGCAGAGGTTACAGTGAGCTGAGATCACACCATTGCACCCCAGCCTGGGCAACAGAGCGAGACTCTGTCTCAAAAAAAAAAACAAAAACGAGGCCGGGCACCGTGGCTCACACCTGTAATCCCAGCACTTTGGGAGGCCGAGGCAGGCGGATCATGAGGTCAGGAGATCGAGACCAGCCTGGCCAACATGGTGAAACCCCATCTCTACTAAAAATACAAAATTAGCCCGGTGTGGTGGCGCACACCTGTAATCCCAGCTACTCGGGAGGCTGAGGCAAGAGAATCGCTTGAACCCGGGAGGCAGAGGTTACAGTGAGCTGAGATTACGCCATTGATCACGCCATTGCACTCCAGCCTGGGCGACAGAGCTCGATTCAGTCCCAAAAAACAAACAAACAAAAAAATTAGAAAGGCTTTTACTCTCTGGCCCCATTGCTGAGTCCCCAACATCTCAGCATCTCTGTCTTTCTAATATCTGTCTCCCCATCTCTGTTAATGGGGCCTCTCCGTTCCTGTCATCTGCCCCGTGTCTCTTTGCCTGGTGCCTTCAGCTGCTGCGTCCTCTCTCTCAGAGTCTTGGTGTCTCTGTTCCTTTTCCCTCCGGGTTTCCCGGGTCTCCCCAAGTCCCTCCTGCTGTCTTCCTCCCGCTGTCTGATCTCGGACTCCCAGAACCTCTCCTCTGTCTCCAGGACTGGCCCTCTGATCCTCTCTGCTTCTCTGGTGTGTCTCTCTGGCTGCCTCCATCTCTGTGGATCTGGGTCTCCCTGTCTCTGTCTCAGTCTCTCCTTCACTCTGTGTGTGTGTCTCTCTCTCTCCGTCCCTTCGACTCCCTGTTCCTCCTGCCTCCACCTCTCCAGGCCCCTGTCCTGTCCGTCCGGCCTCTCTCTGCCTTTCCGTCCTCCTGCCTCCCCATCTCTCTCTGCCAGTCCTGGTCCAGCCGGACCCCCACCCACAGTCGGGCCCCAGTGCTTGAGCCTGAGTGTCTGCTCTGGCCCGTGGAGGTGGAGGGAGGGGACGCCAATGACCTCACCAGCCCCTCTCCGACCACCCCCCCCTTTCCCTTTTCAACTTTTCCAACTTTTCCTTCCGTGCCCTCCTCCGAGCGCGGCGGCGTGAGCCCTGCAAGGCAGCCGCTCCGTGTGAATGGAAAAGGCAGGCAGGGAGGGTGAGTCAGGATGTGTCAGGCCGCCCTCCCCTGCCGCCTGCCCCCCGCCCGCCCGCCCCAGCCCCCTATATAACCCCCCAGGCGTCCACACTCCCTCACTGCCTCGGCCCTGCTGCTGACGGGCACATGCCTCCCCTCCCCAGGCCGCGGCCCAGCTGACCCCCGGGGCTCCCCCGGCAGCGGACAGGGAAGGGTTAAAGGCCCCCGGCTCCCTGCCCCCTGCCCTGGGGAACCCCTGGCCCTGCGGGGACATGAACTGTAAGTTGGTTCGTGGGGTGGGTGGAGGGGACAGGGAGGCAGGGAGGAGAGGGACCCACGGCGGGGGTGGGGGCAGACCCCGCTGAGTCGCACAGAGAGGGACCCGGAGAGAGGCAGCCGGGGAGTCAGAGACGGGGAGGAGAGCAGCTTCGGAGACAGGAGGAGGCCGAGAGGAGATGGGCAGAGAGAGACACAGACAGGCGCGGATGGAGGCAGCCAATCAGAGGCGCCGCGGGAGGGACGGGCCAGACAGGGCCCCGAGAGGGAGCGAGACGCGGAGACCGAGCAGGGGCAGGGACGGAGGGACTGGTGCCGGGAGGGAGGGGACCCCCATCGGCCCAGGCCCCAGGGAGCCCGCGGGGACCGGGAGACGCAGACTCCCTGGGATCCCGGCAGAGAGGCTCCGGAGGGAAACTGAGGCAGGGTCCGCGGAGACCGGAGCAAGCCAGGGAGCAGCGACCCCAGGCAGGGGGAGGAGAGAGACTGGGCGCGGGCGGAGAGCGAGGAGAGCCGGGCAGATGCGGCCGACGGACGCACCGACAGACCGACGGCTGGCAGGGCCAGGGGGCGGGCAGGGGGTGTGCGAGGCGCGGGCGGCCGGGGAGCGCTGATTGGCTGGCGAGTGGCCGGGTGGGCGGGGCGGCCGGGGTGGGCTGCGGGGAGCGAGTCCCGGACCCCCGAACCCCCGCCGCCAGGTCTCCCACTCCCGCGGCCCGGCCGGGCCCATGGCTGTGCCCCTCTCCGCCCAGGTGCGCTGCGGCCCGGCTTCCTGCGGCCCACCCGGCGGGGCTCCTGGGAGGGCGTCTAGGGGGTCTCCCGTGGGAGAGGTCCGTGTCTCCGGGGCTCCGTCCTGGCCTCTGGCTCCTTCCCCTGCTCCCAGCCAGCTCGGGTTCCCGCGGCCCGGGGAGGGGGCAGGTTCTGGCCTGTGCCTCCCCCCCCATGCCCCGCCCCGGGGCCCAGATTCCGGCGTCCGGGGGCGGACGGGAGACGCCCGGCCCGTCTACCCGCCCGGGGCCGCGTCTGCTCCGACGGGCGGGGCCGCCAGAGCCAGGGAGGGAGAGGGAAGCCCGCCCGGCCCTGCGACCTGCCCGCGGGCGTTCCACCCTGGGACTTAAGACCTCCAGCTCCCTCCTCCTTAAGGCCGGGAGTGCAGGCCCCAGCCCCTCCTCCCTCAGACCCAGGAGTCCAGGCCCAGCCTTTCCTCCCTCAGACCCAGGCGTCCAGACCCCCAGTCCCCTCCTCCCTCAGACCCAGGAGTCCAGGCCCAGCCCCTCCTCCCTCAGACCCAGGAGTCCAGGCCCCCAGCCCCTCCTCCCTCAGACCCAGGAGTCCAGACTCCCAGTCCCCTCCTCCCTCAGACCCAGGAGTCCAGGCCCAGCCCCTCCTCCCTCAGACCCAGGCGTCCAGACCCCCAGTCCCTCCTCCCTCAGACCCAGGAGTCCAGGCCCAGCCTCTCCTCCCTCAGTCCCAGGAGTCCAGGCCCAGCCCCTCCTCCCTCAGACCCAGGAGTCCAGACCCCCAGTCCCCTCCTCCCTCAGACCCAGGAGTCCAGACTCCCAGTCCCCTCCTCCCTCAGACCCAGGAGTGCAGGCCCAGCCCCTCCTCCCTCAGACCCAGGAGTCCAGGCCCAGCCCCTCCTCCCTCAGACCCAGGAGTCCAGACCCCCAGTCCCCTCCTCCCTCAGACCCAGGAGTCCAGGCCCCCAGCTCCCTCCTCCCTCAGACCCAGGAGTCCAGGCCCCCAGCTCCCTCCTCCCTCAGACCTGGAGTTCAGGCCCAGCCCCTCCTCCCTCAGACCCTGAGTCCAGCCTGAGCTCTCTGTCTTATCCTGCCCTCAGGTGTTTGCCGCCTGGTCCTGGTCGTGCTGAGCCTGTGGCCAGATACAGCTGTTGCCCCTGGGCCACCACCTGGCTCCCCTCGAGCTTCCCCAGACCCTCGGGCCGAGCTGGACAGCACCGTGCTCCTGACCCGCTCTCTCCTGGAGGACACGCGGCAGCTGACTATACAGCTGGTAGGAGGGACTGGGCTGGGGCCAGGACAGGAGTGAGAGGCAGAGAGGAACGCAGAGATGTCTGTGGGCAGGCCACTTGAAGGGGTTCTGGGCTCTCGGGCGGCAGAGTGAGGGAGAGGAAGAGTTGGGGGCCTGGCGTGGGGGATAGAGGGAGCCCTTAGGCTGGGCAGGGGCCCCCTCACAGCCTTTTTTCCCTGCCAGAAGGACAAATTCCCAGCTGACGGGGACCACAACCTGGATTCCCTGCCCACCCTGGCCATGAGCGCGGGGGCACTGGGAGCTCTACAGGTAAGGGCAGGGGAGTGGGCTGGGGACAAGGCGGGAGGCAGGGAGTAAAGGGGGTGGGGAGGATGAGGGGCACAGTGGGCACTGGCTGGGTGTTCTCTGATGTCCTGGCTCTGTCCCCAGCTCCCGAGTGTGCTGACAAGGCTGCGAGCGGACCTACTGTCCTACCTGCGGCATGTGCAGTGGCTGCGTCGGGCAATGGGCTCTTCCCTGAAGACCCTGGAGCCGGAGCTGGGCACCCTGCAGACCCGGCTGGACCGGCTGCTGCGCCGGCTGCAGCTCCTGGTATGTCCTGTTCCCAAGACCTGACACCCCAGACCCCCACCCCGGCCTCAAGATCCTGTGGCCTGAGTCCTTGAAGCCTGAGACCCCAGACCTAGTGCAACAGCCCTGCTCTGAGACCCTGCCTCTACAGCCCCAAGATCCTGTGGCCCTGAGACCTTGAGGCCCTAGACCCCCAAATCCCGCCCAGAAACTCCAAATCCTCACCCCAAGACCCTGAGACTCCATCATCCATGACCTCAAAGTCCCCATATCCCAGCCCCTGAGACCCAAGGCCCCACCCTGAAGCCCAAAGACTCGGGAATTCAAATCCTCAGCTCAAGACTTGGAGACAAGGCCCCATGGCGTTGAAAACCACAGACCGGGCCGGGCGCGGTGGCTCACGCCTGTAATCCCAGCACTTTGGGGGAGGCCGAGGCCGGTGGATCACCCTAGGTTGGGAGTTCGAGACCAGCCAGAGCAACATGGCGAAACCCCGTCTCTACTAAAAATACAAAATTAGCCAGGTGTGGTGATGTATGCTGGTAGTCCCTGCTACTTGGGAGGCTGAGGCAGGAGAATTGCTTGAACCTGGGAGGCAGAGGTTGCAGTGAGCTCAGATCACACCACTGCACTCCAGCCTGGGCAACAAGAGTGAAACTCCCCCTCTCAAAAAAACAAAAAAAAAAAGAAGAAAGAGAGAGAGAAAGAAAGAAAGAAAAGAAAACCATGGACCTCCAGACCCTGAGACCCCAGGCCCTGGCCCTGAGATCCTGACGCCTTAAAGATCCCAGACCCTAAGATACAAGACCCTAAGATCCCAGACCCTGACCCAAAGCCAGCCTTGGGGCCCTGGCTCTACAAACCCAAGACCTCAAGGCCCTAGACCCTGAGCCCTGAGGCCCTATGTCTCACTCCCCACATCGAAAACCCCGAGACCTCAGACCCTGAGCCTGTGCCTGTACAGCCCCAAGACCCTCACTTCCAAAGCCAGCCCCAAAGCCCTGAACCCAGAAACCTTCAAAGCCTGCTTCCTGGGCCTAGCTCCAAATAAAGACCCTGGATCTCAAATTCCAACTTCTAGCTCTGAGACTCCAGCCCTCACCCATGAGTTCCTGAACTGGAACCCAGAGACCCCACCTCTAGGACTTCAGCCCTGAGATCCAGGGCCTGACCCTACACTCGAGCCCACAGACCCCAGACACTCTCTAAAACCCCAGCCCTGGCCGGGCGCCGTGGCTCACTCCTGTAATCCCAAGGCATGGGAGGCCAAGGCAGAAGGACCTCTTGAGGCCATGAGTTTGAGACAGCCCGGGCAACATAGCAAGACTCTGCCTCTTAATTATTATTATTTTTTTTTTATTTTTATTTTTATTTTATTTTATTTTTTGGAGACAGAGTCCCGCGCTCTGTTGCTTAGGCTGAAGTGCAATGGCACCATTTCGGCTCAATGCAACCTCCGCCTCCCGGGCTCATGCGATTCTCCTGCCTCAGCCTCCTGAGTAGCTGGGACTACAGGCCCATGCTGCCATGCCCGACTAATTTTTTTTCTATTTTAATAGAGACCGGATTGCCTGAGCTCAGGCAATCCACCCGCCTCGGCCTCCCAAAGTACTAGGATTACAGGCGTGAGGGTTAATATTTTTTAAAACAACAACAACAAAAGCCCAGCGCTGAGATTCTTGCCCTGGCAACCCTCACAACCCCCAGGCCTGATCCCTCACCTACAACTAAGATGCCAGCCCTGACTCCACAGACTTCACCCCCAACCCCCACACTTAGCTCTGGAAGCCCATCCTGACCCCAGCCTCAATTTTCTGAACCCCACACCCTGAAGAGCTCCCAGCCTAAACACTTCACCTCACACACCACAGTCCCCCTGTGAATATGCAGCCTGGAGGTCCCCCAGCCCCGACTCAGCTGCAGCTCCATGTCGCCCCTGCCCTGCACCCCTGCTGCACCGTCTACCTGTGGCTCACCTTCTCTCCTCTCCCCACAGATGTCCCGCCTGGCCCTGCCCCAGCTGCCCCCAGACCCGCCGGCGCCCCCGCTGGCGCCCCCCTCCTCAACCTGGGGGGGCATCAGGGCCGCCCACGCCATCCTGGGGGGGCTGCACCTGACACTTGACTGGGCCGTGAGGGGGCTACTGCTGCTGAAGACTCGGCTGTGACCCGAGGCCCAGAGCCACCGCCGTCCTTCCAAAGCCACATCTTATTTATTTATTTATTTCGGTACTGGGGGCGAAACAGCCAGGTGATCCCCCTGCCTTTGTCTCCCCCTAGTTAGAGACAGTCCTTCCGTGAGGCTGGGGGGCATCTGTGCCTTATTTATACTTATTTATTTCAGGAGCGGGGGTGGGAGGCAGGTGGACTCCTGGGTCCCCGAGGAGGAGGGAGCTGGGGTCCCGGATTCTTGTGTCCACAGACTTCTGCCCTGGCTCCTCCCCCTCGAGGCCTGGGCAGGAATACATACTATTTATTTAAGCAATTACTTTTCATGTTGGGGTGGGGAGGGAGGGGAAAGGGAAGCCTGGGTTTTTGTACAAAAATGTGAGAAACCTTTGTGAGACGGAGAACAAGGAATTAAATGTGTCATACATACCCACTTGAGGGCGACTTGTCTGAGAGCTGGGGCTGGATGCTCGGGTAACTGGGGCAGGGCAGGTGGAGGTCCCGAGTGGGCGGGGCAGGGACTGGGAGACGGGTCAGTCACCCAGACAGCTCTGGGGAGGCAGAGTTTGAGCCTCGCCTGGGGCCCCACACTGCATACGGCTCTTTGTTTTTTGAGATGGAGACTCGCTCTGTTGCCTAGGTTGGAGTGCAGTGGCACAATCTAAGCTCACTGCAACCTCCACCTCCCGGGTTTAATCGATTCTCCTGCCTCAGCCTCCCGATTAGCTGGGATCACAGGCGTGCACCACCACGCCCGGCTAATTATTTATTTCTTTTGTATTTTCAGTAGAGACAGGGTTTCACCATGTTGACCAGGCTGGTTTCGAACTCCTGACCTCAGGTGATCCTCCTGCCTTGGCCTCCCAAAGTGCTGGGATTACAGGTGTGAGCCACCGCACCTGACCTATATAGGTCTTCCATAAATATTTAATGGAAGGTTCCAGAAGTCACCCTGTGATTAACAGTACCCGTATGTGACAAAGCTGCAAGGTCAAGATGGTTCATTATGGCTGTGTTGACTGTAGCAAATTGGAAACAATCCAGATATCCAACAGGTGAGGGTTAAACAACATGGTGCATCGGTGGATGGAATGCCGCCCGGCCACCCAGAGCAGGGACTAGCATTCAGGGAGGCTAAGGAGAGAGGCCTGCTTCGGATATAGAAAGATAGCCTGACATTGGCCAGGCATGGTGGTCACGCCTGTAATCCTAGCACTCTGGGAGGACGAAGCGAGTGGATCACTGAAGTCCAAGAGTTCGAGACCAGCCTGGGAGATGTGGCAAAACCCTGTCTCAAAAGAGAAAAAACGATGTCCTGATATGAAACAGCTACAAAACCACTGCATGATGCGATTCCAATTTTTGTGTTTTTCTTTCTATATATGGATTTTAAAAAAAAAAAAAAACCCTAAAAGGAAATAAGCCAAATGTTGACAAGGACTGTCTCCAGGTCAAAGGAGAGAGGTGGGATTGTGGGTGACTTTTGATGTTTATGATTGTCTGTATTTTACAGAATTTCTGCCATGACTGTGTATTTTGCATGACACATTTTAAAAATAATAAACACTATTTTTAGAAGAACAGAATAGCAGCCTCCTCCCCTCCAAAAATAAGCCCTCAGGAGGGGACAAAGTTGACCGCTGAGTGGGCCTCTCAGGGCTGTGCACTAAGTGTGGGCTTTTTACTTACACAAATCCCCCCGACCCTTGAATACGCCCTGTTTTACAGGCGAGGGAAACTGAGTCTCAGACAAGGAGTAGGGACTCTGTTGCACAAAGTCACACAGCTAGGGAGAGGTGGAAGTGGGATTCTGTGCCATGTCTGGCTCTTTCCCAAAGCTCTCTTTGCAACTTGGTGTTGAGGAACCCTTGCAACAGGCACACACATGAGATACGGAAAAACAGGTTCAGTAGGGATTTGGGTCTTACCCAGGGCCTGGAGAAGGGTCAATGGCAGAGTAGGGATGATAATTCAAACCCTTTACCTAATTTCCCCTTTACAATAACCCAGACAGACTTCCAGGGGCCCCATGTTGTCACTAGTTTGGGTCTGCAGTTGGGGGTGCCCATCCTGGGCCCGGAGTTTTGATTCACCCATCTCAGCCCTCAAGACTCCAGGCTGGCCAGGTGCGGTGGCTCACGCCTGTAATCCCAGCACTTTGGGAGGCTGAGGCGGGTGGATCACTTAAGGTCGGGAGTTCAAGACCAGCCTGACCAACATGGAGAAACGCTGTCTCTACTAAAAATACAATCCAGCTACTGGGAAGGCTGAGGCAGGAGAATTGCTTGAACCCAGGAGGCAGGGGCTGCGGTGAGCCGAGATCGCGCCATTGCACTCCGGCCTGGGCAACCAGAGTGAAACTCCCTCTCAAAAAACAAAAAAACAAACGCACAAAAAAACTCCAGGCTATATCCCTGGAGGAGAAGAGAGCCCACGGTCCCCGGAGAGTTACCGGAAGAGGCCCCTGTGTGTCCGATGAGGTCACAAAGCCCCTCCACCAGAGGCTCCTCCCCCCAGCCCCTGCTGTCCACCCTGGCAGGGCCATGGCCGAGGCTCGAGTCTCCCAGCCTGGGGCATCTCCACGCTCTGTAACTCTGAGCTCCAGGCACCTGTGAAGCCCCAGGGGCCAAGGCTGGTCGGCCGGGGCTGGGAGGCCTGCACACCTGGGTTCTGGGTCCCTAAACCAGCACCCACCGCCACCATGATCTGGCTTCGAAACAGGAGGCGCCCTGAGCCGCTCCAGGGCACCCCGAAGTGGGTCCCTGTTCTGGGGGAGCTGCAAAAGACCCTCCAGAAGGGCGAATACCTGCCCCTCCGTCCACTGCCCATGTTCGAGAGTAACTTTGTTCAGGTCTCCAGCTCCCAGTGCCCTGGGGCTGAGAGGGGCAGAGGGGAAGCGAGGCCACCCGGGCTGGGGGATTTTGAGAGGGAATGGGATTTAGCCGTCCCTGTGTAGGGGACGATCAGGAGGGAGGCTCAGGCCGCGGATGCTGGAGGAAGGAGTGGTTCCAGCGCCTCTCCCTCACTGCCCCAGGTGACCCATCAAGGGGGCCCAGTGTTCGTGAATCACAGAACCAACCGGCTGGCCATGGGCGTGGCTGCCTCCCTGCCAGGCCTGGTGTTGCCCGACATCTTGCTGATCGGCCAGCCTGCCGAGGACGGGGACTGCTCGGGCCTCGTGCTGACCAGGTGCCGCATCCCCCAACCCCTTGGCCGCCCCCTCTGCCCTTCCTGCTCTAGACGCTCCCTTCTGCCTCTCCCAGGATGATCCCCCTGGACCTCATCCACCTCTGCGTCCATGACCTCTCTGCCTGGCGCCTGAAGCTGCGCCTGGTCTCGGGCCGCCAGTACTACCTGGCTCTGGACGCCCCCGACAACGAGGCAGGCTTCCTGTTCCACTGTTGGATCCGCCTCATCAACCTGCTTCAGGAGCCGCCTCCCACCTGGGCCCCCAGGACCATGTGCACGGCCCCCCTGGATGTGCCCCTGGCCAAAGCACCTGCCTCCACCTGGCATCTGCAGGTGGGACCCCAGCTCCACAGCCCAGGGCATGGCAGGCCCTAGGAACTCCCCGGCCAGATCCACAGGGGACTGGGACCAAGACCCCAAAGTCTAGGTCGGGGGCCTGGACCCCTGAGTCAAGGGAGGAGGGGCTGGGTCTGGACACCTGAGTCGAGGGAGGAGGAGCTGGGGGTCTGGACTCCTGGTTCTGAGGGTGGCGGGTTGGCAGTCTGAACTCCTGGGTCTGAGGGAGAAGGGGCTGGGGGGACTCCTGGGTCTGAGGGAGGAGGGGCTGGGGGTCTGGACCCCTGAGTCGTGGGAGGAGGGGCTGGGGTCTGGACTCCTGGGTCTGAGGGAGGAGGGGCTGGGGGCCTGGACTCCTGGGTCTGAGGGAGGAGGGGCTGGGGGGACTCCTGGGTCTGAGGGAGGAGGGGCTGGGTCTGGACCCCTGGGTCTGAGGGAGGAGGAGCTGGATCGCAGGGTCCTGGGAGCAGGAGGGGGCCTAGACCTCTGGCTGGGTAGGTTATGGAGATGTGGAAGCCCAGGCCCCTCCTGCCTCCTTCTGGCTCCGCAGGACCAGCCCGTCAGCAGACATGCAGGTGAGCAGGCCCTGCTGTTCTTCAGGACCTCTGGGTGTCGGGTTCTCCCCCAGCAGGGACGGAGTTGCACCCTTTGGCTCTTCCCCCTCCCTTGGTCGGGGCCTGCACAAGCTCCTGGGGTAGGTCCTCGTGCCCTCCCCTGGGGTCCCTGATCCAGGATGTTTTCTCTCTTCCCAGTCAGGGTTGCTGAGCACAACTTTCCTTATAAGAAGTCTCCGGTGGCCACTCGGAGACAGAGGAAGGCCAAGGTGAGCTGGCGGGGTGGTGCGTGCCCCAGGGGCTGCCCCTGTCTAACCGTCCCTTCCTCACCCATGCCAGGCACTCAAGCGCAGTTTCAAGTCTCAGGCCGTGGGCGACTCTGTGCCCCTCATCTGGTCGCAGCTGGAGCATGCCGACGTCGGGAAGAAACCTGCAGAAAAGAAGTGGGCGTGGGGTCTTGTTGCCAGTGGGTGGGTGGGTGGGTGGGAGAAGGTGGGAGACCCCAGCCCAGATGCCACCAAAGTCCCACGGTATTGCTCCTGCAGATCCCACCCAGACTTCCACCCCGACAGAACTCACACCCAAGCCCACTTTTCTGGTAAGATCAACCCACCCCACCCCCTGCCACACTGCGTGGCTCTGGTTCCCGCCCCAAAGGGCTCAGACTGCTCCCCCATCCAGAGAAGACCAGCATCACCATCTGGACCATCTTCAGCATCATTTCCAGCACGGCCAAGCAGACACAGTCCTCTCCAAAGGCCAGCCTTATACCCGGGGCGGGGCCCAGGCCCCAGAGCTGAGGGAGGAGGGGCTGGGGGCCTGGACTCCTGGGTCTGAGGGAGGAGGGGCCGGGGGTCCGGACTCCTGGGTCTGAGGGAGGAGGGGCCGGGGGTCTGGACGCCTGGGTCTCAGGGAGGAGGGGCCGGGGGCCTGGACGCCTGGGTCTGAGGGAGGAGGGGCCGGGGGTCCGGACTCCTGGGTCTGAGGGAGGAGGGGCTGGGGGCCTGCACTCCTGGGTCTGAGGGAGGAGGGGCTGGGGGCCCGGACTCCTGGGTCTGAGGGAGGAGGGGCCGGGGGTCCGGACTCCTGGGTCTGAGGGAGGAGGGGCCGGGGGTCCGGACGCCTGGGTCTGAGGGAGGAGGAGCCGGGGGTCCGGACGCCTGGGTCTGAGGGAGGAGGGGCTGGGGGTCCGGACTCCTGGGTCTGAGGGAGGAGGGGCCGGGGGTCTGGACGCCTGGGTCTGAGGGAGGAGGGGCCGGGGGTCCGGACTCCTGGGTCTGAGGGAGGAGGGGCCGGGGGCCTGGACTCCTGGGTCTGAGGGAGGAGGGGCTGGGGTCTGCTCTCCCGGGTCTGGGGTCTCCATGCATCCTGACCATGCATCCTCTCCCCTCTGTCCATCTACAGGCCTGCACATCTGCATCTGAGGAGGCCACAGGCCAGGGACCTGTGTTTGAGAGCCCTTCGTACTGTGTCTCAGCTGACAGCCCTGATTGCTTCTTTCTGGGCTCCGGCAGCTCCCTGGACCCGTGCCTGTGGCATCAGGACATGGAAGACCTCATGGATTCTGAGAGCAGCACTTTGTCATCTGCTACCTCCGGCCTGGCTCCCTATCCCCGGGCTGCCCGCTTCTCCACACCCTACTCTTCCATCCCCAGGGGCAGGGAAAAGGCCAGGTCTATGGGCTCCCACCAGGGGCGGGGGCCACCACCCTGCCAGACGGGCCCTGTCACATCTCGCAAGGCACCATTCCTCGTTGACCAGTCCCAGACGCTCCCAGCTGTACCTGCTTCATCATGGAAGCCCCCACCTGGATTGGCTCCTCCCCAGAAGGTCTCAGCTGCATCAACTCCTCCCTGGAAGGCCTCAGCCGTACCTGCCCCACCCCAGAAGGCCCCACCCCCATCTCAGAAGGCCCCATCTGTACCCACCATTCCCCAGAAGGCTGTGTCCCCCACTGCTCCAAAGAGGAAATCTCTGCTTCTCCCTGCCCCGTCCCAAAAGGCTCCGCAGACCTCACCTCCCCAATACCAGATGGCACCGGGCTCGCCTGCCTCACGGGGGAGGCTCCCTGGCGACGTGTTGCCAACAGGAATTCCTGGAAGAGCTGCGCTGGAGAGAAGCCCGTCTGGAGGGAAACCGGAGCCAGCGGTGACGGTGGGCACCCAGGAGACAGACGTGGTGATGACGACTCAGGTCAAGTCCCTGGAGTCGCCCTTCACCGTGACCAAGAAGGAGTCCAAGGACATCCTGGTTAGCAAAACCCAGGAGGTGACCCTGGAGGCCTTCAGGGGCCAGGGGAAGTTGGAGGACCGGGCCCACTTGGCGAAGCTTGAAGAGAGGTCCCTGGACCCGCCTGGCGCGAGATCCAAGGAGCTGGAGCAGCGGAAGAGATGGGTCGAGACAAAGGAGCTGGCCGTCGAGGACCCCTCCCAGGAGCACAGCAGGCCCTTCTCCATGGAAACGCTCACCCTCGCCAAGCTCACGATCCTGGCCAACTCCAAAGAGCAGCGCGTGAAACCCTCTCTGGTCTCACTTCCCTCCTGGCTCTTGGCGACTTCGCAGGCGTCTGCCACGTCAATGATGGCTTCAATGCCCTTCCACCCAGGCCAGCTGTCCTCACCGGAGGGGAAGCCAGTGGTGGTCAGAGAACAGCCAGAGTCGCACACTTGGGTGAAGGAGGGCAAGCGGCAATGGGGCGAGAGTAAAGGGTCACCCTGGGACCCCGAGGGGCCGCCCAAGGTGCCCCTTCGCTCCAAGCCCACCTCTGCCAGTCCCAAGAGGGAAGGAATCTCCCAGGCGCCTCTCCCCCTGCCCGCCTCACGGTGGGAGGGCTTACCGCCATCCCCCCTCTCGGAGACCCCCATCTCAAAGACGGAGGCCACAGCCAAGGCGTCCCAGCAGCCCAAGAGACTGTCGGAGGAGCCCGTGAAGATGCCAGCCCAGCACCCCCTGGCCACTGTGGGGTCGTCTTCAGAAATTCTTTTGCCCATGCTCTTAGAACTTGAAACTGTGAGGAACACGGCCACCAAGGCAGAGGAAATACAGGAGGAATCGGGTGTCTTTAACCTTCCACCCAGGTAGCGGGGGTTAGCAGCTAGCATTTACTGTGAGCTCTGCTATTTATGAGATAGAGACGATCACTCCCTCCTTTCCCGTTTTTTTTTTTTTGACAGGGTCTCACTCTGTCACCCAGGCTGGAGTGCAGTGGTATGATCTTGGCTCACTGCAACCTCCGCCTCCTGGCATCCTGCGTAGCTGGGATTACAGGCGTGTGTCACTATGCCCGGCTAATTTTTGTATTTTTAGTAGAGACGGGGTTTCACCATGTTGGCCAGGCTGGTCTTGAACCTGACCTCAAGTGATCTGCCCGCCTTGGCCTCCCAAAGTGCTGGGATTACAGGCATGAGCCACCACGCTCGGCCCCCTTTCACTCTGATACATAGTGAGTGCCGACTCTGTGCCAGGCATTGTTCTAGGCAGTGAGGATACAGCGTCTGACCATGGGGCTGGTGGTGGTGGGATGTGCTCCTGGCTTCTAGCAGGTAGAGACCAGGGATGCCGCTCAGCATCCTATAGTGCACAGGACAGCCCCCACCACAGCCCAGGTGGTCTAGGGAGGCCTCATTGAGCTGGAGTGGTTTGTGTGAAGACTTGGAGGAGAGGACGGAGGAAGCCATGAGGCCATCTGCAGGGAAAGCATGCCAGCAGAAGGAATGGCCACTGCAAAGTCCCTGGGGCAGGAGTGTTTGTAATGTGCTGGACCACGGGGATCCCAGGGTGGAAACTCGGTCAGAGGCGCAGCAGGGGGACGCCCATCACGGAGGACTTTGCAGACAATTTTAGGAACTTTGGCTTTGACTCTGAGCAAGCTGGAGGGTTTGGAGCAGAAGAATAATGGGGACTGATTTATGTGTGAAGAGGCTGCCTCTGGCTGGGGCGTGGAGGATGTAGAGGGGGCAAGAGTGGGCGCCTGGAGGACAGGGTGGAGGCGGCTGCAGGAACCCAGGTAGGAGATGATGGTGGCTTGCACAAGACGAGAGGTGATGGAGGTGTGGAGAAGCGGGGGACTCTGGAGATGCTTTGAAGAGTGAGCCAATAGATTGCTTCACGGATTGGGGTTTGTGATGTGAGAGAAAGGCTGACTTGAAGACGGCTGGGAGGATGTGGGTTCGAGATGCCTGGAGCAGGCGGCAGCAGTGCAGGGGAGTAGGTTCTGGGAGGCGCTCAGGAACACCTCTCTTTCGGACACCTTGATTCTGAGGTGTCAGGGAAGATGCAGGGTAAGCAGTTGGACACGAGTCTGGAGCTCAGGGAAAGCAATTTGGGGAGTCACTGGTGCACAGACAGGTTAGCTCAGGCTGTGAGATTGGAGGAATTCACCGGCGAGTGAGTGGAGATGGAGGAAAGTCTGAGGTGTTTGGGCAAAGAGGAGCCAGAGTCAGGGAGAGCAGAGCAGCCAGAGACGGGAGGAGAATCAGCACCATGTGGAGACAGCGACAAGGCGGGGAGGGAACGTCGGTGTCAAACGCTGTGGTCAGGCGAAGGAAGCGGGGCCTGGGGTCACACCTCTGGATTTACCAGTGTGGAAGTGATGTGGGGGTTGGGGTTGAAGTCCTGATGGGAGCAGTCAGGAGAGTGTGGAGAGAGGGGCGACTCTAGGCTGCAACACCTCAGAAACACCATGCCAAATGAAAGGGGCCAGACACAAAAGGCCACAGAGACCCCATTTCCATGAAATGCCCAGAACAGGCCAACCCGTAGAGACAGAAAGTGAATGGCTGGAGGCCAGGGGCCTGGTGTGGAGGAAGGGGAGTGGCTACTCATGGGTTGGAGGTGAGCTCTGTCACCAGGCTAGAGTGCAGTCCCTCTAGAGACAGAGTCTCTTGCTCTCTCTCCCAGGCTAGAGTGCAGTGGTGTGATCACGGCTCACGGCAGCCTCAATCTTCCTGGGCTCAAGTGATCCTCCTGCCTCAGCCTCCAAAAGCCCAGCCAAGTTTTTGATTTTTTGTAGAAAAGAGGTCTCTGGGGCTGGACGTGGTGGCTCACGCCTGTAATCCCAGCACTTTAGGAGGCCGAGGCGGGTGGATCACAAGGTCAGGAGATAGAGAGCATCCTGGCTAACACGGTGAAACCCCGTCTCTACTAAAAACACAAAATATTCGCCGGGCGAGGTGGCGGACGCCTGTAGTCCCAGCTACTCGGGAGGCTGAGGTAGGAGAATGGCGTAAACCCTGGAGGCGGAGCTTGCAGTGAGCGGAGATGGTGCCACTGTACTCCAGACTGGGAGAGAGAGTGAGACTCAGTCTCAAAACAAAAAAAAAAAAAAAAAAAAACCGAGGTCTCACATGTTGCCCAGGCTGAAGTGCAGTGATGCCATCACAGCTCACTGCAGCCTCAACCTACCCAGGTTCAGGTGATTCTCCTGCCTCAGCCTCCTGAGTAGCTGTAACCACGGGCATGCGCCAACGCGCCTGGCTAACTTTGGTATTTTTTGTAGAGATGGGGTTTCACCATGTTGTCCAGGCTAGTCTCAAACTCCTGGGCTCAAGCAATCCTCCCGCCTCCGCCCCACATACTGCTAGGATTACAGGGATGAGCCACCGCACCTGGCCGGGATTCTTAATTCGTACATTTGGCTGCCAGTGTGACCAATCCTGAGTCAGGCCTGATATTAACCAGGCAGGAGGGAGAGAAGCTTAGCAGGGTTCTAGAGGTGAAACCACCTGCCCAGATTCCTAAGCCAGGCATCTGCAGCTCTTAAAGCCCTGGGTACCCCTCTCTCCCTACCCTGTCCCCCAAAGTTCTCTCTGCTTGCTTTCTCCCTGCAGCCTGCAGCACTCCCAGCACTTCGAGTAGCTGGATGCGGGGGGTGGGGCTCAACCCCAGTCGGAAACTGTCCTGTGGAGCCCAGCGCTGCCAGGTACCCTTTAAGACCCTGGAGGTGGGGGGGGAGGGGGACCGAGAGGAGGAGGAGGGGGGAGGGCTGGGGGGAGGGCAGAGGGGAGGGCAGAGGGGAGGAAAGGGGGGGAAGGGGGGGAAGGGGGGGTCCCAGGAGCCCTGACCCCACCGCCACTCCTTCCTCTTAACTCCACAGGCCCCCAGGGTTCTGTGCGCACCGACTGTAAGAAGCGGAATGTTGAAAGGCCGCTTGGGGGGATTCGCCCCGTCCGGTAGATACCAGAACTATCAATATGCCTTTATATATTGGGAGGCGGGGGCGGGGCGAGCCCGTGGAGCCGCCCAACTTCGCAGAGATTAAAGCTTGAGTCTGAGACTCAGCAGGTCGCACCTCAGTGCCTGTGCGCGCGGGTCCCCGAGGGGGCGTCAGGGAGCGAGGGGTGGGTGGGGGCGCCCCTACCAGGCCCGCGGCGCACGACTGCTCCCATTGGCTGGGGCTCGGGCGTCCGAGCCAATCTGGCCGCGGGTGCGTTTCTCCTGAGCCTGGGGGCACCGCACCCCGCGGACTCAGAAGCCAGCGGCACCCGGGGACCGTCGTACAGCAGATCCAGTGGCCGCCGACGTCAGGCTGGTGAGGGCACGACGGGTGGGGTTGAGGGGCGGGGGTCCGGATGGGGGGACGGGTCGGAGCGAGGGCGCCCCCTCGGCCCCACGGAGTCCCCGTCCCGTCCCGCAGAAGTTGCCTCCTTCTAGGATGTTGGATGTGGAAGCCCAGGAGCCCCCCAAGGGGAAATGGTCGTCGCCGCCCTTCGACCCGCGCTTCCCCAACCAGAACCAGACCCGTAACTGCTACCAGAACTTCCTGGGTGAGACCTGCTCAGCCAGGTTATGGGGGCAGCAGGGTGTGACGAGGGAAACTCCTGGGCTCAAGCAATCCTCCCGCCTCCGCCCCACATACTGCTAGGATTACAGGGATGAGCCACCGCACCTGGCCGGGATTCTTAATTCGTACATTTGGCTGCCAGTGTGACCAATCCTGAGTCAGGCCTGATATTAACCAGGCAGGAGGGAGAGAAGCTTAGCAGGGTTCTAGAGGTGAAACCACCTGCCCAGATTCCTAAGCCAGGCATCTGCAGCTCTTAAAGCCCTGGGTACCCCTCTCTCCCTACCCTGTCCCCCAAAGTTCTCTCTGCTTGCTTTCTCCCTGCAGCCTGCAGCACTCCCAGCACTTGGCCCGCCCTACAACTCTCCCGCCCTCCCAGCTCCGCCCCGCCCACCAACCCAGGCCCGCCCCGCTCCACCCTTAACGGTCTCACGGGACTTTCGGGTGGGAGGGCCCTCCCTGCTTCCCTCCGTCAGCACCCCTTGATGCCCACATAACCCTGGTGGGCGAGGTCTCCCCAGAAGTTCTGGGTAGCAGTTACGGTGTTTTCTGTTTCTGGCGGGTTGGAAGCGGGTCGGAAGGGCGGCGGGACGGACATTTCCCCTTGGGGGGCTCCTGGGTTCCAACAGCCAACATTCCTAAGAAGGAGGGCAACTTCTGCGGGAACGGACGGGGGGACTTTCCGTGGGGCCCGAGGGCCGCGCCCTCGCTCCGACCCGTCCCCCATCGGACCCCCGCCCCCTAACCCACCCGTCGTGCCTCACCCCAGGCCGGACGTGGCGGCCACTGGATCTTGCTGTAACGGACGCAGGTCCCCGGGTGCCGGCTTGGCTTCTTGAGTCCGCGGCGGTGCGGGTGCGCCCAGGCCTCAGGAGGGAAACGCCCACCCGCGCAAGATTGGCTCGTCGCCGAGCCCCGCCATATGGAGCAGTTCGTTGCCTGCCGCGTGGCCTGGGTAGGGCGCCCCCACCCCACCCCCCTCGCTTCCCTGACGCCTCGGGACCCGACAGCGCACAGGCACTGGGTTGCCGACCTGCTGGTCTCAGACTCAAGCTTTAATCTCTGCGAAGTTGGGGGCTCCCACCGCTCGCCCGCCCCCGCCTTCCCAATATATAAAGGCATATGAATTATCTGGTATCTATCCGGACGGGTGCGAATCCCCCAAGCGGCCTTTCAACATTCCGGCTTCTTACAGTCGGTGGCACAGAACCCTGGGGGCCTGTGGAGTTAAGAGGAAAGAGTG